ACTCACATGCTCAGATGACTCCAACTTCTGAACTACCTTATAGAAGTCTTTTGGTTTTTAATTGCACTACCATTTGCGCATATGTGGGTAGATGTTGTCCTTCGAAGCAGATAGGGTAACTATTTGTCGCAAGGCTAGGATTGCCTCCATTGCCCAGAACTACATGTCAAATGTAACCATTATCAGATCGTAAATGCTAAATGAATGCAACCATAAATTATTATGTCAAAAGAAAAATGTTAAATGTTACGTGATAGTACCTGAATCACCCACACAAATTTGTAAATATTGTATCGTAAACGAGTATCCTTCTGCAAGTTTGAGGCAAAGACTTCGAACCCCTTCAAAAGGTAATCCAAGGTTAGCCTCCAAACATAGTGACCCCATAGGAAGACTTCCAAGCATCGATGTTTTCCACCAATGAGAACAGCCAAGGCATTACTCATCTACGGTAGTCTTGACCAAATAAAATGTTATTCACGATCAAGATGAGTACCATCTTAGTCACGTCTCCTGGTCGTTGAAAGTTGCCATCGCGGAACGTTTGAAGAAACCATTGCAGCTTAACACTCTTCTGCCCGTTCTAGTATTTTGCATGAATTTCTTCTCCATCAACCTCGTACGGTCGGCTGAACACATCAGGAAATCTATCAAACTTCAGTTCTGTGATAAGGCATAACTCTTACTTCGATATACGTGCCTTGCTCTTGCCAATGGCAAACCATAGCTCATGCTCTATTGAATCTCTTTCGCTGATTTGACGAATCATGATGTTATGCAAGAGTCCAGCACAAAAGTAGCCTTGTGGATATATGTCGAGCAGCATTCTGAAGCACGTTCGCTAGACTGAATCATATTCCTCTTTCTCTTGGAGAGTCTTGCTGATGTAATGTAGTTGCGACCACTTACAGTGGGCGTTAATAGAGACATTGAACACCCACTTCTCCCTTGACACAATAAGGCTACTGTCAAGATTCTCATATTGTCTGGACTACATCTGTAAAACATCGCACACATGCACGAGTGAGTTAACCCATAATGTGCAACA